TTTAGTCACAAGATATCTGTAGACCTGCATGTAAGGTAAAGTTATCCTAGTTAAGCACAACGACATGAAGACTTATGACAGAGTGGATGTATAGATCTACGTTTTCTTGATTTCGGCACTAGCTGGAGGTGGTCAGCTTCAAGCTCCGTCCGCTTTACCACCCGGGAAAGTGTCCCCGGTACTCATCGGATAGGAGGCTGGGTGGGTCCCAGAGTCGGTCTGGGCACTGCGGTGACGAGAAAATTTTTTACTCTACCGGGACTCCAGCTCCGGCCCCTCTGTCGTCCAGCCCGTAGCAAGTCACTATACTGACTGCGCTATCCTGGGTCCAGACCCGCACGTTGTGTTGGTAAATGAACGACAGACACAGTTTAACTCCCTGCTCTTGTATGGCTTCTTAATGAATGTACAGCCAGCGATTCTTACGGTGCGGCAATTTCCTTCAACCTGTGGGATGAGAGAGAACTCGTTCTCATCATTTGGAATAGGCGAATGGAATGGTACAGATCATCTCGACTGGTTGGTTGTTGTTCGTGTGGTCAAAAAATTCACCTCGTTTTATGGAAACTGAAGCTGTATTACCTTATTCATAGAAGTGAACCATTCCACTTAATCTGGATGCACTTGACACCGGGTGATGTGATGACTGAGGTACCCACCTACCTACCTACCGTAATTTGGATCCGAAACATCACAGCAAGGACACGTCTCGAATGAGCAGTCACCACAATTTCGAACTGATAGATCACAACACGACTGGGCACTAGGACACGTCGCGAATGAGCAGTTACCACAATTTCGAACTGACAGATCATAACACGACTGGGCACTGGGAGTATGCTGAGTGTGTTTTTACAGATAGTACCTTTTCCTACGAGCAAAAATTTTCCCAATAACTATATGGTTTACACGTTCCGAAGAATTTGCTCAGTGTTCCGTAATCTGTCAAGATGTGGCTGGTTACGTACTTAATGAATATAAGAGAGCTGCATGTAGACTTTATAGATAGAGAAGATGTGGAATAGGGAGCAGTGGAAACTGGCTGTAGAGGAGGCCAAGCTTCCCCCAGGGCTGCAGCAATGTATTGCAGTCGGTTGCCCTTTTCATTTGGGGCAGTGCTGGGAGGAGAAATCGGAAGCTGTCAAATGGATGAAGTGTTTTAGGACCGCATGAAGTTCTTCATGGATTTACTAATACCAGATGCTACAAATATTGTTGTGACATTTCCTGACTATGAGGGGGTACGCGGTAGCGTAGTTGGTTGAGGCACTATGCTATAAGCCGGAAGGTCGCGGGTTCTAGTCCAGATGAGGTGGATTTTTTCGGTTGACCCAATCTTTCCAGCCGCACTAAGGCCCTGGGGTCGACTCAGCCTCTAACAGAAATCAGTACCAGGAATCTTCCTGGGGGATAAGGGCGGCCGGCGCGTAAGGCTGTCAACCTGTGAGCCGATTGTCTAGATAATGTGGGACGCTCAATGTCTCACAACCCTATGGGCCTCCATGGCCTGTTACAGGGATGGCTTTACCTTTTTCCTGACTGTCCTTGCCAGAGGGTTCAGAATTCACACCAACATTAAGTGAACTTAGAACAATAGATGGTCCAGAGAGATTCCATCAACACTATAATGCACATTTTTATTCATGTCGCCCAAATATTCAAAATTACGGTTGTATGGTGGCACAGTTCGGATAAACCACTACGGTTCAGATGACTTAGCTGGCCGTTAGCTTTAATTCTTCAACACTGAAGACAGGCGACAACCCATTATAGTCGCCCCAGTGAGGCTCTCGAATCCAGCACATTAAGTTCGTGAGGTCTTTACAAATAACGAGTTGAAGGTATAGTATATCCCTATGCTTAAATAATTACGCATAACGCCATGTGGAGGGGTGGGGCATAGAGATACAGCTGCACCGTACTTAACTGGATAACGCTAATTATGCTGTAATGCTTCCGAGGTGTCCAATCATGGCCTCTATATTGTGACAATCTTCAGGAACACAAACTGCAGGGCCAGAAGCTGTGCAGTAGGGCTTAAGCCCTTAACTCCTATTAGCTTACCGCATGAATGGTTAAGTCAGCCTTACTGGGATACAAATGCATATAGTGTGTACTCGTTTCTTTCCATTTTGATAGCTGAATTAAAAATATGGAAATTGATTTTTTCTGATTACATTTAGGCTAAACCAAAAACTCATACCCTAACACCACACTGTTTTAATATTATTGAATCCAAGCAAAATAAATGGAGATAATCTGAATAATATAAGACGTGAAGAAATTAAATGAGGTAGAGGGTAAAGAGCAGTATCGTGTTGAAATCTCAAATAGGTTTGCGGCTGTGGAAAACTTGGAAACTGAGGTTGAAGTTAATAAAGCATGGGAAACTATTAGAGAGAATATAAAAATGTCTGCCAAAGGGAGTCTAGGTTATTATGAACCGAAGAAGCATAAGCCATGGTTCGATGATGAATGCTCAAAATTAACAGATCAAAGAAAGCAGGCCAAATTGCAATGGTTACAGGATCCAAGCGAGTTAAATGGGGATAACCTGAACAATATAAGACGTGAAACCCGCAGGCATTTCAGGAACAAAAAGAGGGAATATCTGAAAGACAAAATTGATGAGCTGGCAATGAACAGCAAGAACAAGAACATTAGAGACCTGTATAGAGGAATAAATGACTTTAAGAGGAGTTACCAGCCTAGCAGTAACTTAGTGAAGGAAGAGAACGGTGATCTGCTTGCAGATTTCCTACTTCTATTTGGCATAAGGAAAAATTTCCTGATCAGTGGAAGGAGTCTATTATTGTACCAGTTCACAAGAAGGGTGATAACACTGACTGTAGTAATTCTCGAGGGATATCACTGCTATCAACTTCATATAAAATTTTGTCCAATATTCTTCTTTCAAGGTTAAGTCCATATATAGATGAAATTATTGGGGATCATCAGTGTGGGTTTCGACGTAACAGATCAACTACCGATCAGATCTTTTGCATTCGTCAGATACTGGAGCAAAAATGGGAGTACGATGAGACAGTACATCAGCTATTCGTAGACTTCAAGAAAGCCTATGATTCAGTTAGGAGGGAAGTATTGTACAATATTCTGATAGAGTTTGGGGTACCCATGAAACTAGTTAGGTTGATTAAAATGTGTTTAAACAAAACGTATAGTAAAGTCCGTATAAGTGAACATTTGTCTGATAATTCTCCTATCCAGAATGGTCTAAAACAAGGAGATGCTTTATCACCACTACATTTCAACTTTGCTGTAGAATATGCCATTAGGAAGGTCCAGGAAAACCATGTGGGACTGAAACTAAATGGGACACATCAGCTGTTGGTGTGAATCTACTGGGTGATAATGTAGATACCATAAAGAAAATCACACAAACTTTAACTGATGCAAGTAAAGAGGTTGGTCTAGAAGTAAACACAGAGAAAACTAAGTATATGTTACTGTCTCGTCACCAAAATGCAGGGCGAAATCATGACATAAAGATAGGAAACAATTTTTTTTGAAAATGTGGCACAGTTGAGATATTTGGGTACAACGATAATAGATCGAAACCTGATTCAGGAGGAAATTAAGAGGCGACTGAACTCGGGTAGTGCTTGCTACCATTCAGTCCAGAACATTTTGTCTTCTCGTCTGCTGTCCAAAAACATAAAAATTTGAATACATAAAACTATAATTTTGCTGTGGTTCTGCATGGGTGTGAAACTTGTTCTCTGACATTAAGGGAGGAAGATAGACTGAGGGTGTTTGAGAACAGGGTGTTGAAGAGAATATTTGGTTCGAAGAGAGATGAAGTGACAGGAGGTTGGAGGAAACTGCATAATGAGGAGCTTCATAACTTGTACTCTTCTCCAAGTACAATTAGAATGATCAAGTCAAGGAGGTTGAGATGGCAGGGCATGTAGAACGAATGGGGAAGAGGAATGCATATAGTGTACTGGTGGGAAAGCTAGAAAGAAAGAGACCACCGGGAAGACCAAGACGTAGGTGGGCGGGCAATGTTATAATGAATCTTAGGGAAATAGGCTGAAATTGTGTGGATTGGATTGATCTGGCTCAGGATAAGGGGCAATGGAGGACGCTTGTGAACCTTCGTGTTACATAAAATGCTGGGAAATTCTTGAGTAGCTGAGCGACTGACTGGCTCCTTCTCGAGAGGGGCTCAGCTCCATGAACTTGGTTACTGAATACTGCTCAGTCATCGCCGTGAGAACTTAAAATCTTGAATATTATTGCACACAGCCATTTAATCTTGTTAATAGTCTCTGGGGTAGAACTCGGAAAAGTGCCCATAACCAATGGAAACAGTTGGCAGGGACATTTGTGCATAGATATTAACAATCACAAATGTCTTTATCAGAAAAAGATTAAAACAAAATCCATAGTACATTTTGTGAATTTTATTAGTTACTGAGAGCAACAGCCGAAGTCATGAACTTTCTCCAGCAAGTGGTATTACAATTTATGTTTATATGCACAGCCAGAGACAGGTTGATAATGAATGTCCCCCAGAACTGTTAGCCATTTTAGGAATTTTAGGAACATTAGATAGATAAATTCCAGTCACGGCGATAACAAATGGAATTCCGCTACACTTTTAACAATGCCATAAATGATACATTATTGTTGACGGCACGTTAAAGATGTATACTTCCGGTTAGCTTGGGCCGCAAGGAATTTCAGTAATAGTAAGCATCTGTCCCGTAAATCATTTAAGACTCTTCGCCGAGCTTCTGAAGCAGATAAAAGAAAGTTATCTGCAACTATTTATTCCCGTAATTTGGTTTCCGGTTTAAACAAGCTTTGGGCATCAGACAATGTTTTAATAAGCGCGTATAATAACAAAGATCTTATATATCTTGTGTGTAGTATAAAGTTACGTCAAAGCTTCCATGTTACACATTCACATCACCCGTATTTAAAATTCTTCTTATTTATGTAAGTACTACAAAGAACCAGTATGCATATCAAACCTTTCCCAGCACGTGACAGACTGCACAAACAGATATCCAGCACACTGAAAAGAATTACCACATCACACATCCACTGCTGCCGATAAACTACTGCTTGATCAAAATGGCCACGCGTCTTCCCTTCTTCCACGGCGATGGGAGTCTGTTGGCGAAAGAGCGCTGTCGCTATGGCTGGAGATTTGAGGGGAAAACTTGCCGAGAGGGGTGACTGTGGTGGGGAGAAGGCGAGGGGAAGTCATTAAACTTAAGGTTTTACATGGAATAGTGGGTACAGACAGCGCCAAAACTTAGACTCTCAGTCAACAATAAGTTCCAATCACAGTGATGACTTCAAGTCCCCTTGGTCCCTATTTACAGAAGTTCCAGAGGAGATGAAAGATCAATTAATAATCTTCGCATGCGCAGCATAAATGCCAGAGCTTTGTATGGTACGTTAAACAGTTACTTATCTGTGCCGTGGGTGATATTCTCACAGCGGCGGCTGTGAGGGGGACATAATGGTGTATAGTCGGGTGAAAGTTTTGCTTGACTCACTCTTCGACCCGAAGATGGAGGCGATATGTTCCACCGAAAGGTCAGTTGACTATCACCTGACTACACGGCGTCCACAAGATAGAACTCTACAATTATTTATCTTTTGGTTTGTGTGGTTGAGAGGAGCCGGGATAGCGCAGTCGGTATAGCAACTGGCTAAGGCCTGGACGACCGAGGGGTCGGAGTTCGAGTCCCGGTACGGTCAAGAATTTTCTCTTCTCCACGTCGCCCAGACCGGCTCTGGGGTTCACCCAACCTCCTATACAGTGGGTCCCGGGGGTAAAGCGGCCGGGGTGTGAAGCTGACCACTCACCTCCAACTAGTGCCGATGTCAAGAAAACGTGTATCTATGCTTCCACTCCTCCATGCGTCTTCGTGGCGTAGTGCTTAGTTAAGCATAAGGACAATTTTACCTTTTTGTGTGTGGTTGGGGGGCACAGTATCCTACCCGGAGGGGAGATCTGGTTAAGGGGAGGAAAATACAACCTGCTGCCCGTAAATAGTATTTTTTAACGCCAGAACTGTCATGACGTAATTAATAAATAGTTGGTCGGTTCATCATTGTTTTGCCAAAATAAACATCGTGCTGTTGAATTCATGCTATCAGGTTTCTGTTTGCCCTAATGCATTTGAACGGCCGGCCACCGAAGAAGCGGGTGACGTTTCGTCGTTGTTTGGAAGAGCAAATGCTTACCAACAACTGATTAAGCACTACGCCATGAAGGCGATTGGGGGAGTGGATGTACAGATGCGGCACTAGCTGGAGGTGAATGGTCAGCTTCACGCCCCGATCGCTTTACCTCCGGGAATGAGCCCCCGGTACCCATTGTGTAAGAGGTTGGGTGAACCCCAGAGCCGGTCTGGACTACTTGTATAAGAGAAAATTCTTGACCCTACCGGGACTCGAACTCCGAGTCCTTTGGGCGTCCAGCCCGTAGCCAGTCGCTGTACTGACGGCGCTACCCCGGCTCCTCAGGTCCAGCCTGTAGGCAGTCGGTATACCGACTGCGCTACCCCGGCTCCTCAGGTCCAGCCTGTAGCCAGTCTCTATACTGACGGCGCTACCCCGGCTCCTCAGGTCCAGCCTGTAGGCAGTCGGTATACTGACGGCGCTACCCCGGCTCCTCACGTCCAGCCTGTAGCCAGTCTCTATACTGACGGCGCTACCCCGGCTCCTCAGGTCCAGCCTGTAGGCAGTCGGTATACTGACGGCGCTACCCCGGCTCCTCACGTCCAGCCTGTAGCCAGTCTCTATACTGACGGCGCTACCCCGGCTCCTCAGGTCCAGCCTGTAGGCAGTCGGTATACTGACGGCGCTACCCCGGCTCCTCACGTCCAGCCTGTAGCCAGTCTCTATACTGACGGCGCTACCCCGGCTCCTCAGGTCCAGCCTGTAGGCAGTCGGTATACTGACGGCGCTACCCCGGCTCCTCACGTCCAGCCTGTAGCCAGTCTCTATACTGACGGCGCTACCCCGGCTCCTCAGGTCCAGCCTGTAGGCAGTCGGTATACTGACGGCGCTACCCCGGCTCCTCACGTCCAGCCTGTAGCCAGTCTCTATACTGACGGCGCTACCCCGGCTCCTCAGGTCCAGCCTGTAGGCAGTCGGTATACTGACGGCGCTACCCCGGCTCCTCACGTCCAGCCTGTAGCCAGTCTCTATACTGACGGCGCTACCCCGGCTCCTCAGGTCCAGCCTGTAGCCAGTCTCTATACTGACTGCGCTACCCCGGCTCCTCAGGTCCAGCCTGTAGCCAGTCTCTATACTGACGGCGCTACCCCGGCTCCTCAGGTCCAGCCTGTAGGCAGTCGGTATACCGACTGCGCTACGCTGGCTCCTTGTTTTACGAAATATAGCATTGGAAATAAAAGCTGGTGTTCTTACTTGGGACCGGTTTAGAAAACCGAGATTAACGGCCGCGGGGATTCGTTGCGCTGACCACGCGACACCCTCTATCCGCTAAAGTTGGCACTAAATTCGCCGACAAACGGCGGTCGCTCGGTCGGTATAGTCGGACTAAAGCCACGGAGTGTGTGTGTGTTCTTACTTGGGAATGAACGTTTGCAAAATGAGTGAAGAGTTGTCTCATGTAAAATCAGAGAGGGAGAACGAGCACTCGTGAGTGGTACACACAAATCTGATTTAAACTGAAGATTACATTTAATATGCATGATAAGAAGAATGAACTGAAAGCAATATACCGTATTTTAAAACACTGTATCATCAAACCTTGTGCGAGTATGAGGCATGGTCTGTCACCCTAAGGTAAGAATACCGAGTGAGGCTGTTTGAGAAGAAGGTGCTGAAAAGCGCGTTTGGACCAGTGAGACAGGAAATAACAGGAGGGCGGAGACAGCTGCGTAACGAGGCACTTCGTAATTTGTACTTTTCGCCGAATCAGTGAGAACGAATTAGACGGCGAAAAATCTGAAAGGTGACTTGAAATGCTTAGGAAGATAGCTGTAAATGGGAGGATAAGATCAGAATTAATTATAAAGAAATAAGATCTGGTTTTAGTGGGGTCTTGTGGCGGGATATTGCGCACACGGTTGACTTTCATCGGAATACATGGCGTCATCCCCCAAACGAGACAAGTCTTCACGGTATTAAAGAATAAGGTGTGGTCTTCTGCAATCTCAGCCCTTATGACAAGGGAAGAGAGAAACAAACATTCCAAACAATTCCCTGGGATGAAATAATGGACAGTGGAGGAATTACAGTGTGTAAGAGGAACTTGATTTACAAATGGCATACGCGGTAGCGTAGTTGGTTGAGGGGCTATGCTACAGGTCGGAAGGTCGCGGGTTCAAGTCCCAATGAGGTCACTGGATTTTTTTCAGTTGACCTAATCCTTCCAGCCGCACTAGGCCCTGGGCTTTACTCAGCCTCTAACAGAAATGAGTACCAGGAATTAATTAAACAATTTTCCTGGGGAGTAAAGCGCGGCCGGCGCGTAAGGCTGACGACCTTACCGCCATCTGTGAGCCGATTGTCTAGAAAATGTGGGAGCCTCAACGTCTCATAACCCTATGGGCATTCACGGCCTGTTACAGGGATAGCGTTACTATTTTTAGCTCTCATGTTATTACAAGGGGATGTGTTGGTTTTTGAAATATATCCGTATATTCGTCCGAAACGTCGGTTAACTTCAACCGGTTTACACGCCGCTGCATTCCAGAAGATAAACCGTTCAAGAGGAGAGTAATATATTAAAACTGGATTTTATGGACACGAGATTGGCGGTATTGGTCGTTCCTACACTGGGTCAGCGGAATTTGTTGTCAGAAGTGCTAAATCTTTGGATTCTAACAGCAGACAACCCTATGTGGGCATCTCCATGGCCCTAACATGCCTTGTTGGCATCCTTTAACCTCGGTTGAACCGCTGATTTGTTTTGAATTGGAGAGTACTCGCTGCGTTCCGATGATTGTAATTAAACGCCGCGCTGCGGTCCGATGGGCACTAAGTCACCCGGTACTTGCTTGTCAACTGCTCCCTCCTCGTCTCTCGCTCTTCCAGATGCTGAAAACTGTCTGCATGGGCCGTGAGATAAAGATCCTGACAGTAAATTCTATAGGAAGTAACACGTGTATGGTCAGCTTCACTTTCCTCTGCTGCCCATTCCATCTGAAGCCCCCAGATCTACTCTGCACCCATGGGTGAAGAATACAGGATTCGAATACTGCTGTCAGAAATCCAGCGCCAGTATTACACTCTGTGTGAGTGAGGAGTAACCATCGTACTTAAGGCACTTGTCAAATGGAATGGTCGTAATGAAATCATGACACTGGCTTGTAAATTTAATGACGACAATTAGATTGTGTGCCTTGAGGTTGATGCGTATGTTTTCAGACTGTACCCAAATGTAATGCAAAGATATTGATTGTATTGAATATATCATAACGGAAGAAACTGATTTCGTCCGAGTAGTTTCGGAGAGAAACCTGTGGATGGGTTCCACTTATTTTATGCCCTTCATGCACGTAGTGTGTATCAGTACGCGTTTCAAGCAGAAAGTCTTGAAAAGAGCAAACGGGCATTGCAGCATCCAACATTCGCTGACGTCAAGACACGTCACTAGAGAAACAACGTGTAGCGTTATGTAGGAGCAGTGCTAAACATGTCTCGAAGATGTGCAAAGTGTAGTTCTGTCTGTTTCTCGAGGACACTTGTGTCTCCTCCTTTGGTCTGTCTGCACGTAGCGGTCAGCCGGGTCGCCATTCGGAACATCGGAACTGCCACCAAGCCAACTTAGTCGAATTCACATCCTACAACTCATTTCCGTTTTAAATTAATCCCTCGTCGCCGTCTACGAACTGGATACTTACCCCGAGCTTTCCGTACGTTTCTTGTTTCTCTGATGTTGACTCTAGAACGTCCTAGCAGTGCCAGTAGCGGGACTGGTAGAATCACTGAGATTTTATGAATTACTGGGGTTTTGGACTTTGTCCATCGTCCAGTATTCCAAAGAACACAGCGTTTCGGAAACTGGATCTGTTTCCATCCTCAGGTGAAAAGGCAGGAGATACCTACTCAGTCGGGTGCCACAGAACACGCCGTAACTTTGTGAGGTCTGTGCTTTGATCCTCACTGGTGCCTTCTGTCACCCAACAGAT